TATATATATATATATATATATATATATATATATATATATATTTAGAGAGAGTTGTTATAATTTGAGAGAATAGGTATGGGCACCAAATACAATAATAGAGTTATAGGGGAGCATCAAAAGTCATGCAAGCTAAATCTTGGAAAAGACCAAAAAAAGTAAATGAGGAGCATTAAATAGCCAAGTAAATCTTATCAATATAGCTCAAACTAATCAAACTAGAGAAATAAAGGTTGAGATAATTACAATATTGGAGGATGAGAAAATTTCAAAGGAAAAGGTCGAGGAAACTACATAGGTAGAGGATGTGTAAATTTAATTAAGGACGAGATAATAATTTAGAATCATCCGACCAAAGAAAAAGTGAAAATAATTTCATTTCCGAACGTGGAAGAGGATGAGGTAATAATTACTAATAAAGAGCAAATTTTAGTCATTTCTATTGTGAAATGTTTGGGCATAGAGCTACAAATTGTAGATTTAAACAACATACAAACATGGCAGGAAATCATCAAATATATTGGTGAGAATTCTTATAACTTACAAAGTTTATTTTTCACAAACAATACATCTCCAGAGGATGAAAATATTTGACATTTGGATACTTAATGTAACAATCATATGTGTGGGAAAAATATTTTCTTCTCTAAATGAAACGGTAAAATCTATTGTGAAATTTGGGAACAATTCAAATATTCCTATTTTGGAAAAAGGACAAATTACTATCAAATTGAAAGATGGTTCTAATTTTTTTTTAATCTTTGATGCTTTCTATGCTCCTGGTCATCATCACAATTTGTTAAGTATAGGACAACTTCTAGAGAAAAGTCACAACATGCAAATTCATTATGGATACTACATGTTGATCGACAAAAATGGAAGATCTATTACTAAGGTAAAGATGATTCCTAACCACTTATTCCTTTTGAAAATTTATCATCAAAATTGTTCTTAGTTGAGTTTTGTTATTTCTATTGATGATTGGTTATGGCATGTGCTTTGAACACTTTCATTTTTTTGGATTCAATTACCTGTCAAGAAAAAATATTTTTCTGAGTTGCCTACTATGAGTATTCCTAATGGTATATGCCAAAAACGTGAGATTGGAACGAAGCATAGAGAAACATTCCTAATTGAAGTGTCTTGGAGGGTGAAGAAGATGATAGACATTGTTCATTTAGATTTGTGCATAGATGAGATTCCAACTCATGATGGTAGTAAGTATTTTATTACTTCTATTGATTATTTTAGCATAAAGATGCATGAACATTTCTTGAAGCAGAAATGTTAAGCATATGACACCTTTAAAATGTTTAATGCATTTGTAGATAAGCAAATTGATTACAGAATCAAAACATTAAGAACAAGTAGAGTCTAAGAATATGTCACATGTACAAATTTCTTTTAGCAACATGGAATTCAATATTAGTTGACAACTAGATACATGCCACTACATTTGATATGACACATCTATTACATAGTGGAAACATAAACATCTACTAT